AGACGCTGAACTGCTAGACCAGAAGTTGGAAAGCACGAAATTGCAAGTAGATAAACAGGTGCCGCTGTACACCTTAGCATTTAGTCATGCCAGCCACATGACCACGGAGAAGTGGGGCTCTCATGGCTTGATGCTCCTCCAAGTTACCCACCTGTCTCAAATTAAAAACTAGCATGTCTGAGAGAAGGACTCTGCATGCTCGCTTTCTATGCGCAGGGTTTTTTCTTACATGGAGGACCCATTCGGTAATGTGAGTCCCCATCCAAAGTTGGAAGCCCAGACAGATGTTCACCGCCTCTTTGAGGTTAAGACCAAAGTCTCAGTGATTGCAGTGAGGTTTTACTACCGTATTAGTAAATGTGCTGATATTTTAGATATATCTGAAGAGTTAGCAGTGTTTTCTAGGAAACCTAATGCTATAGAGCCGAGTTTTTAAAATGAGGAATTGGTTATTGTATGACGGTATGTGTGGTATAGCCAGGAGATCCTAAGATTGTCTGGCAGCCAAAAGTTCTAGCTTTTTTTTTTTTACCAGACTTGTTTTTTAAGGCAAGAGAAGTTTTCAGAGGTGGTTTGCCATTGCCTGCCTTTGCGTCATGCCCATGGTATTCCTTGGAGGTCGCCCATCCAAATATTAGCTAGGGCCAATCCTGCTTAGCTTCTGAGATCTAATGGGATTGGGCTTGCCGAGGCTATCCAGGTCAGGTTTTTAACGAGGAAAATCGAGGGCAACACAGTCACTAACTGAGTGGTGGGTGTGGCCTTATGACACACTTCCGGTGATGTCAGGGGGCGTGGCCTTATGACACACTTCCGGTGATGTCAGGGGGTGTGGCATATGCTAATGAGTTCTGCTAATGAGTTCCCCTAGCTCTTTTTCTACGAAATAACCCCTGACTGGTACTATCTAGATTATTGACTATCTAAACTAAACGGATTAAGAAGACTCTCGCAAAAGGTACAGAATTAACTTTTACCATAGAGTTTTGCCCAAAAACCAGAGCGTCACTTCCAACGTGCCTATGTCATTTCCAGGTGATGCCTATGTCATTTCCAGGTGATGCAGGCACAACTATATACACACCCACCCAGCACACCCACAGTCCCGTTGGAGGGTTTGAATTTCCCACCAAAGTTGCTATTGGTGAATGCTGGGGGAACTAGGATCCTAGGCTTCAATTGTTTAGAGGAGCTAAGCTCCACACTGTAGCCGCAGACCCCTGGTGGCAGTCCGCGTACATAACACCCCTCCCCCATAGTTCCGACCCCACCTATGTGATATAGTCATGTAAATAGGCGAGGGGTCAGCGCTCTCTGAGGGAACACCAGGGGGCTGGCACTGGGTCTCTGGCGACAGTCTCCGGTTGATGGGCTGTGACCTGGGGCTGGGGCGTCTGTTGTGGTGGCTGAAGTGCCTCTGGCTCTGTTGGTTCTGGCGGTGGTTCACTCGGAGGGGCCTCCTCGATGCTCAGGGGGTCGGGCTGAACGTTGGGTCTGGTGTGTATGCCCCGGTTCCCACAGCCAATGCTGGTGGCTCTCCTGCCTCCGGAAGCTGTCACCGCCTCAGTTGGTCAAGGTGTTTCTTTAAGAGCCTGCCGTCTTCTGTCAATACCTCATAGGATACTGGGCCCGTGATTTTGATAACTCGGTCTGCAATCCAGGGGGGTCCGGTTCCGTAGTTCCAGATGAACACTGGGTCCTCTGGGAAGAATTACCTAGGCAACCAAAAATGGCTGCTGTCTTCTGAGGATATCTCACACAATCTCAGGGTTTTAAAACTATTTTGTTTTATTCTTTCCTTTATTATTGGTGCTGCCATATGTAGCAGTTCAGCAGTGGCATTGAAATAAGCTGTGGCGTATGTGGCATTGAAATGAGCTATGGTAGGACTGGAATCATTTTTGAAATGCACTTCTGGCGCCCGTGGACTCAACCCACTTGATGCAGCTGTAAGCACATGGCCATTGAGTCAGGTGTTCTAATGGGATTAACCTGGAACACTTCTGTAGCTATATGAGCACAGGGCAACTTTTGCACCGTTTATTGCTGTCAGAGTGTGATACATATGGGGAGAGGGAAGGGTGTCTGCTCCTCCTGTGGGAAACATATAATCTCCAACAAACATAAGAAATGTACAATTATAAGGAATGAATTAGATGTTAAGTTTAACTTGGTTTTGCTAATAGCGAAAATGGCAGCTCTGTGTGAATTGGTTTCTTCCTTTCACGTATAATTCTTAGTAAAACTTATTCATGTTCTCTTGTCTTCCACCCGTGGAAGGGAGATTTGTTCTGATCTCTCCCATCTCACTGCAGACCCCCATATCCCCCATATCCCATCTCATGGTATTCTTTTTTGGGGGGGTATTTTTTAATTTGCGTGTGTGTGCACGTGCGCACGTGGACGTGTGAGTATGTGTATACCTGGAAGTTATGGCAACCTCTGGTGATTGACCCCTACTGGGGCCTGGAGGATATTCAGAGAGGTACCTGAATAAGGCTTGCCCCCGCCTCCCAACTGCTGGTATTCCAAGGAGTTCTCCCATCCAAGTTCTTGCCAGAGTCGATTCTGCTTAGCTTCCGAGATCTGACGAGATCGGGCTTGCCTGGGCTATCCAGGTCAGGGCCTATTCTTAAGGGTCCACCAAGACACTGGGGCAGCATCCACTGGACTTCAGTGAGAAGGCAGGAGAGATCTATTCTGTAAGCAGAACTCTTCTCTCTGCCCTTTGAATCCGAGTCATTGTGTTTTTCCCTGCTCCAGTGAAGTGGGCAGGGATGCCATCCTCCAGGTGGGACCTGGGGATCCCCCAGAATGATGGCTCATCTCCAGACTACAGAGATCAGTTCCCCTGGAGAAAATGAATGCTTTGGAGGGTGGACTCTATGGCATCGTACCCCACTGAGGTCCTTGTCCTCCCCAGGCTCCATCCCCAACTCTCCAGGAATTTCCCAAACTGGATCTGGCAACCCTTCCCCCCCCCATCCCTTGCCAGCAGCCAGGGAGGACCTGGCAACCAGTGTTCCCTCTAAGCTGAGTTAGTGTGAGCTAGCTCACATTTTTTTAGCCTCCAGCTCACACATTTTTGTCTCAGCTCAGGAAGGATGGCTCCAGAGCAAACTAGGTTATGCAGTAGCCAGATCACCCGCTCACAATTTTAATGCTACTAGCACACAAAGTAGAACTTTTGTTCACAAGACTCCATAGCTTAGAGGGAACATTGCTGGCAACCCCAGAAGTGGAGCTGGGAAACGCATGCCAACACAATTTAGGATAGTGTACCGAAATATTATGGGGAGAGGAGAGAGAAATTGACATGGGCCTTTTGCTTTCAGCTTCAAGGCAATAAATATCTCCCCCCCCCCCCCCCCACGGCTGTCAAGTCACAGCTTACTTATGGTGACCCCATGGAGTTTTCACGGCAAGAGACATTCAGAGATGGTTTGCTATTGCCTGCCTCTGTGTTGCAATCCTAGTCTTCCTTAGTGGTCTCCCACATTATTATTATCATCATCATCATCATCATCATCATCATCCCAGGGAGTAGGCTTTGGGTGATTTACAACATTATACTAAAATTACTAAAAATAAAGCCGGCCACACCACTGTCCTGGGCTGACCCTGCTTTGCTTCTGAGATCCGGCCAGATTGGGCTAGCCTGGGGCTATCCAGGTCAGGGCACTCAATACCTACAGTGGTCTTGTCTGAAAGTTCTACGCAGTTGTGTAACTAAAAATGCTTCAGCTCAAGACATGTATTTTTTTAGAGGTTTTATATCATTTCCCCCCAAATTTCTTTGAGTTTGCTGTGTCTTACTATAAATTTACATTTATTTTGCTGGGCAGTATGCTATGGGCTTTTGAATGCAGGTTGGCTGAACAGCTTCAGAGCCTTTAAGCAGAAAGTGTACAATGCTTGCACCTAATGTATGGGATGTTTGCTTAGGCCGTTTTCTATAAAAGAAAAATGGCACGCAGAGGAAAAATAGCACTTAAATGCACATGCAAATTGCCCCCTAATTATGGACAGCTGTGTGTGAAGGGAAAATAGGAGTAAAATAACACCAGAATTTTTCTTGAAAGACCATGTTTTGGACATCTTTAGAACATCTATTTAGCAAAATTTTAAAAATGGTCATTTTATTATTGTAGTATCCTTACACTTTTTGAGGTTGTTCTTTAATTACGGGTAATACACTTGTGGCATTGGGGGTGACTGTGAAAATGCTAGGTGCAGTGCAGACGACCCTTTTTTGAAGCCAGAGAGTCACAGGAGCTTCAGTATTGTACCACATATACATGCATTGTGTGCCTTGTAAATGCCAACATGTTTGAGGCAAGGGTATTTGGCTGGCACTTGTGTTCTGTCACCAGTGAATAATTTCTCACAAAACACCCCCAATCACGTTTACACTTATTCTGAGAACAGGCATGTTGCCATCTGAACAGAAAAGCCATGTGTAAGATGTAGGCTGCCCGTGGCCAAGTTCCCAGCTGTGGATGTTTGAACAGCTGTATGATCCCGAGCTCAAATGGTTCTGGCTAGACAGGAAGGGTAGACAGAACTGTTCTCCTTGAAATTTTTGTTTGCTGCCAGAAATATGAAATAGTGCCACAGATGTTCTATTTCAAACTTTTAGTTAAAGACCTTGTTTTCATCACCAGTACTTTTATTGTACAATAAATACCATTTATTCTTGTTCAGTTTTCTTCAGTCTAAACACACAGTCTAAACACATTTCACTCTAAACACTCCCCTGTACATTCAAAGCTAAATGGACTACATACTCCTAACCTATGGTTGGCTATGAATGTCACTGCTTACACATAATAAGAGCACTGAGCATTATAGCAAACTGATAGGAAGATCTCTGAAGCTGTAAAAAGGTGAAGATGGATCCAGGCCACAGGTCAGGAGGAATCACTAATAGCTGACCCTTCACTCTATTGCCTTACCTTTTTCAGCTCTGATGCTTTGACATAACGTTCTCTTTGGAACAGGAAATGTTTGACGTCATTCTGGATGAAAATCAGCTTGAAGATGCTTGTGAACACTTGGCGGAATACCTTGAGGCCTACTGGCGTGCCACGCACACTACCAGTAGTACACCCATGACACCTTTGCTTGGAAGAAACCTCGGCTCCACCGCACTGTCCCCTTACCCTACTGCAATCTCTGGATTACAGGTATGAATCCATGCTTTAGTCATCAATACAGGTCAGCTCCACAGTCAGATCAGAGCAAATGCTGAGATCCAGTGGCTCAAGCATACAGATGTGGTGGATCCAGGGTATGCACATATATCTGCATGCACAGAAGCTTACAAGTGGGGGACTGTCCCATTAATCTATCTGCAGCATTCCAAGTTATCAACGGATATGGTGGCGAGTCTCCTGTATGCACTCAACTGTTATAGAGCTCCATAGGCTTTGGAATGTGCTCAGTGTATATTTCAATATATTCAAAATTTTCCTTCACTGATTAACTACTGTTTCGGGCTCATTCATGTAAACATGTACTTAATAATAATTCTCTGCAGAATAGGTGAGCTATCTTCATTAAAAAGTGCAGTGTTCACATGATATGAAAATTCTCTGTGGTGATTCATCATTGGCTCATTCACACATTCACAGTACCATAGCCAATGTGCCAGCACTCAGCAAGCCATTACATAAATAGACTCACATGCTTGTACCTGCTGATTTCCTCCCATGCAGCCAGAGTTTGTTGTTATGTTGAAACTGGGAAAACTATGGTTTGGCTTCAGGTCTGAACTGGAAACCACAAACTGTAGTTTCCAGTTCTGGTTTGTTCAAACTAGAATTCACCTGCTTTGGACAAATGACGAACTATGGGTGCTACGAACCAGGACCACAGAAGGTAGTATGGGAAAAGGAATCATGGGAGTCCAACACTTGGCTCAAGTATCCCAAAAAAATGGAAAAGCCAAAGTTGCTTGCCTGTAATTGTTGTTTTTCAAGCAGTCACCATTACATTATCACTAATGGAATTTGTGTTTTATGCAGTTCTTTTTTTTAATTTGTAAACTTCTAGAGCTAGCTTTTAGGTGGAAAAATGCAACTCCTCTCCATTTGGCATGCGCAGTTAAAACTGCCTCTGATGAAAGAGGATTTTCACACCTAAAAACTCTTTTCAAAAGTTTCTGTTCTACACCAGTGCAAAGCCCATCAGTGTCATGTGGAGAGACTATGATGAAGGGACCATGAGTGATGAACATGCATGTATGAAACCAGCTCTTAACCTCTAACGAAACATAGCCAATTAAGTAGATCACAATCTGGGAGGATTTGATTTAATGCAGGTATCACAGCCATTATTTTAATGCTATTGTGCAGATTGAAAGGTGTGAGACAAAATCACACCTTGGTTTTAAGGTTTGTTCCTAGAAGATAAATGTATAGGTAATATATGCTGCTATCAATTGTTACAGTTAGGAATCTCTGGTCAGTTGTATGTGTACTGGTTTTTTATATGCTTACCAGCTTGTAAAAGTTCAGCTCGTGTCAAAAATTTCCCCTCAGTTTGCCTTGCTTCTTCCCAGAGGTAACACTTAGCAAAATTCATTCATCTGTTTTGGTTTTATTTTTTTATGAGGAATATAATGTATTTCCCATTATAAAAAAATTCTGACCATTTTTTTCCACAGGGATAGCTCAAAAACGGCTGGCCTTTGAAACTTCAAACGTGGCATGTAAATAGTCCTTAATGAGAAGTACGTGCTTTACTTAGTTTGGAAAAAAAATTGTCTTTTCAGTACAAGTTTTGTATGTTCATAAACACAAAACCAAAAGTGCACAAAGACCAATTTCACTAAAGACTTCAGCACATTTGTGTGGCGCTTAATTTGTGTGCACTTTTACTGTGTGTCAAGCAGAGAGCTAAGCAAATTAGTAATACAACTAAAAATTAAATTTGCTGACTGGATACATTGCAGAGATCAGGTTTTTTACTTTCTTTTACTCAGTAAACTCACACACAGCAATGTTTTTTTCCCCCATCTCTGCATGTAGGCAGCAGTCAATATTTCAATTTTAAATTCATGTTTAATTCTGTTTGGCCAGCTACATCGCATGATATTATTTCTGCTTAGTGACTGGATGACTGTGCAAGCAGCAGTTTGAGTTCTGTGGACACGTGCTTGTTTTGTGTGAAAATTTTCATTTTCCGGCTTTGTTTGTGTTGGCAAACCCTGTCTCTTGAAAACCCAAACCCAAGAAAGATGTGGGCAAAGGAAATACATCTAGACAACTTAAGACATACATAGACTCCCCATCCCTGCCCATGTTTCCATTCACCACTAATCAGTTGTCACGAATGATGAATGTCAAGTCAGGGCTAGGTTACAAAGGTTACTTTCATGCAGCATATTATGAGAGGCCCCAAGCCAAGATGCTGAAGCCGAGACCGGTGCTGTGACCACCGATGCACTAGTCGTGATAGCGATAGACAGACAGACAGGCACAGTTTGTTCTGCATAGCAGGTTAGTGGCAGATACTGTGCCTGGCTAAGGTTGCCAGCTACAGGATGGAAGAGTCCTGGATATTTGGGGGTGTAGCCCGGGGAGGATGGGGTTTGGGGAAGGATCTCAGTGGGATATGATGCAATAGAGTCCACCATCCAAAGCGGCCATTTTTCTCTGAGGGGACTGATTTCTGTAGGCTGGAGATTAGCTGTAATTCTGGGAGATCTCCTGGCCCTGGCTGGAGGTTGGCAGCCCTAGGGATGACACCCTGTAGGAATTTTATCTGAATGTCTTCTGAGAAATTGTCTCAGTTGGGATGTCACAGTTGGGATGAATGTATGAACCTGAGGTTCAGCTTTAGCCAGTCCCGTATAAGGGTTTGTGTCTGGATCTAGGCCTATAGCAGAATGAGGTGTCAGAACGCTGATGTGGTAGAGCAGACTGAGCCATTTCAGACGGCTGGCAAGAAATCAGTTAATTTGAATGTTCCTCATGTAACGAAAAAAAAACCTTCCCTGCAAGTTAAAAGAAAAATTGCAGAGCAGGAAGAAGGCTGGGCTTCTTGCCGTCTGAAGTGGGTGGTGCCCACTCTACCACTTCAGCACCCCTGTGCCTCTTTCTGATGTATCCATAACCTGGGCCTGTGTATCCCTCACATTTAAGGAAGTTCCAGGTCAGTTAAACTGTTAGGCCCTCCCAGCTGGAGATTCATAGGAAACAAAAGAGGGCTAGAAAGATCTCTACAAAGAAGCCTCGCCAACTTATATTTTTTAGTTCGATTCCATGGAAACCTCTTGAAACCCGCTTGCACATTATGTATATACCTGCCATAACGTTAAACTCAGCCATGATTCCAAATTCCCCTCCAAAACCCATCCTGCCTATTGAATGGTCATAATCATTACATACCTTTCAAATGTGTTTTTCCCCTCCCCTTTTTAAGGGTATGACTAATTTGATCTTATTGTTTGAAATCATCCTCCCTGTTTTTATTACTCTTGGAAAGTCACTGACCAGCTGTTTGGGCTACATTTTTCAGAATTTGCCCACAGTGTCTCCATGAGTTGCTAGATGGTTGCAGTGACTGCAGAAATAAAAGCAAAAAGGGACTTTGCTTTGCTTAGCTTAGCTGTTTCACCCACAAAACCACCGTGGAGAGCAAAACAGGGGGAAAGAGCACCGGCAGTCTACACACTAAATAGTATCCAGTTCTCTTTTAAACAAATCACAGAAGCATATGGACTCTCAAGGCCCTCAGAGCAAGAGCGCCTCTAATTCAGAGGGAGTGAAGTGAAATCCTTTCTCTTTTTTCCTAATCCTTGGAATCTTTGACATTTTTAGAGCCAACGTATGAGGCACACCAACCATTCTACAGAGAACTCTCCAATTGAACGCCGAAGTCTAATGACCTCTGATGAAAAGTACCATAATGAAAGGGCTCGGAAGACCAGGAACCGCTTGTCTTCCAGTTCCCAACACAGCCGAGATCATTACCCGCTTGTGGAAGAAGAGTACTCCGACTCATACCAGGACTCATACAAACCTCATAGAAACCGAGGGTCACCTGGAGGCTATAGCCATGATTCTCGGCATAGGCTTTGAATACAAGAACCTGGGGAAAGCTGGTACTCATTAGCTGAAAACTTGCCATAACATAGCTAGGCCAGACAAATCATCTTGATTTGGCAGGTGTGGCATGGTTTTACTATGCTTACAGGCTGCTGCCATTTACTGCTATAAAAGGGGCAAAATCTACAGATCCGTGCCCTTTGTGTTAGGAAGAAATTAGTTTGCCCTATCACTTAGGTGTGTTTTCTTTCTAGTGTAGTGTTTAATTTCAAAGTCTCTCTTCTCTTCATTAGAATATTATTAGACACATCAGTTTGTAACTTAGGATACCTGTTGAGGCGCATATAAAATAATTTCCTGCATAGGAAATTCCAAATGACCAGTTCCAGTTGGAACCAATTTATAAACCAATTCCTGTTGGAATTTGGGTGAAATTGACTGGAAAGTCAACCTGAGCATGTTGCAGTCAGTTAAAAAAAGATAAACATAAAGAATAAGAAAATTTAAAAAACCATTATAAGCAAAAAAACCACTATAATACTTGTTTACTGGAAGGTAAATTTATATATATCTATATCTATATATATATGGTTAGAATAAAACAATTTTAATGTATTTATTTCAGACTAACCAAATGTAAGCAGTCAATAGTGCCAAAAAGAATGAATGCCGCAATTAGAACTTTCCAGTTAAAAATTATCAGTTTCTTTTTTTTCCTCCCAACATACAGGTTGCAGCAAAACTGTGTTGTGTTATTGGTTATTGCATTTATAATGACTATATGAAGGTATTCCAACAACTTGGGGAAAAGAAAACAAGGGGTGAGGGCTGATATAACATTTTAAAGTGTGTAACAAGTAATTTAAACACACATTTTCTGCACAAAAAAAGCACCCATGTCTGTCTTCACCTTAGTAAGAAGCTTCCAGACGTTCCAGTCCAACTGGATGTATGAGAGTTTGGAACTGAGGTTTTTTCCCCTTTGGTTTACCAATCTTAAGCACTACTAACAATCTAATACAAGGCACATGGCTTGTAACTCATCTTAAAGTTGTGTTTTGTCAAAAAGAAATTGGCCATACTAGGGCTTTTAAACATGTGTGTTATCACCAGAAAAGGTATTGTATGATCACTGCACCTACCAAAGAGTTAAGAATTTACCATACAGTAATTATCAAGAGATGATGGTATCATAATTCTGTGTCGTACAATGGAAGAGTACCGCCTGGGGGAATTAGCAAGGGAAACTATTCCAGCCACAGAGAATCAGAACAGAGGTGGTGCTCCAAAGTTTGGGTGCTTGCTTCTCCACATGATTTCTGGAGCATGGTATACCTTCATCTTTATTGTGTTATAAAATTTAATGTGATGTTTCTGTAGTCTGAATGCATCGTCACTTGCGTTCAACAAAGACTCTCAATGCATTCCACTGAGATCGGATACCTGAAAGTCATGTCTTGCAGATTTCCACCCTGCAGTGTGAACTGTGCTGCAGTGTGAATATGGAGCTCCTGCAGAGGTGGGCTTTCCCCACTCACTTCAGTGTGCAAAGCACCTCTGCACAACCCTCCCTCCGCTTGCAACCTTCTCCATTGAATTGAATGGAGCACCCATGCATGCAGGAGCTCCGTATATGCATCACTTTGAGAGCTTCTTGGCCACCACAGGATTGCCGGATCTGTGAATGTCTGAATCCCTGGCATCACGTAGCATGTACTCCATGATTCTGGATATTTTTAAATTGGTGATGATAATGTTTGTTTTCCCAATAGTCTTAAATGACAGATTTAAAAAACAAAAACAAATTAAAGACAGTGTTTTGAAATACTAAAAGGGAACAAAGTGCTCATGGGTAGTCCCAATACAGTGCCAGCAATTCCAGCTCAGTGTTACAGAAGCTTTGCTGTGGAGATGTGTGCTAGAGTAGGTGAACACACACATAGATATAAAAGATTAAAATAATTAAGCAAAAGGTCCACAGTTATGAATCACTGCTGCAGAGGAAGGGTAAAATAAATACTTCCATCAAGCAGGGCCATATCAATAAACTGGGAAGGAAAAAGTAATTCTAAATTGATGCAAAGTCAGGTTTATTGGACTCAGCTGGAATACACTGTGGATAGGTCTTTAGAAAGAACTGAATATAGAACAATGTGCATGCCTGAAAGCTATACTGGGCCTCACTGGTTCACTCATAAGGATCTTGAAATACAATACTTCCTAGTAGTCCAGAACCCTGAAATTGGTACATGTCTGGTCCAAGTCACCCTTTATTTGAGTACTTAAAAAGTTTGACACTGTTACACCTCTTCCTGAAAACGGAGGGGCTCAGAGTGCATCCCTAAATAGTTAAGGTACTTCCAAGGCCACCAACAGAACTGAAATTTTCTACATAGCCTCAGATACGTGGATTATCTGAAAATTCTGAAAGGGTGACCAAATATACTGCCGAAGCACCAGCAAACACATTTAAAACAGACATGGTCCAAGACATTGTGAGGACTAGGAAATCAGCATTGTTACACTTTAGAGTCAAAATCTGGAGCATGTCAATTTACTTCTGAATATTGAATTCTAGCACAGAACAAGCCAAGCCACAGGTAGCCCAGAAATGCTGGGTCATTGCCTCTTCAGACTTGGATTCAGGAGAAATATATCTATATATGTTTGCCAAATGCATGCTTCATTTCTTCTTGCATTTAATATATGTAACCTGGATTACCAGAAAAGCCTGAAAATCAGGCATTTTTACATAAGACAGTCAAAAGGGAGGACAAGAAGTTTGTCTCGTAATCGAGGGCAGCCCACAGCAAGCAAAATCAGATATGAGATGGGATGTTGGCTGTGGGAATGTATTCCTTTAACACACTCGAATCAGTCTTGTAGGGAGTTTCCAGTAGTAACACTTACAGAATGCAACCTTCATTTGTTAGTATAATTATATACATGCTAGATAAAAATGAACACAAAGGGAATATAATTCTAATAATGACTTTCTGAGCACAGCTGCCAGAGGCTTGCAGGTTAGCCGGTAACATTTGCAAGCTGTGTTAGTATGAGCTGGGGCTGCCATAGGTAACAAATCTGCAGGCATCCCAATTTAAATGGTGCTGGTAGCTCCTTTACGATTGAATTGTGCACTTGAATTAGTACAGTCACATTTTATAGTATTGCATCTAAAATTTAAAATAGAAAATTAATTTAGGAAGGCACCTTTCATAGTTATACATCCATTCTCTATTTCATTGGCATTAAACAGATTTTTATTCAGATAAAATATCTCAGGCCCATATTACAATATGTTTCTACTGCATAATTTATTGTTAGATTATATTCTTATAAATACCGATACAGTGTGCATGTGTTTTTTGTTAGCCGACTTCTGAAGAAGAACCTGAAGAAGGTATGAAATATACTGTGAATTATTTCATCTTAGTCCAATATACCTAGGCTTGCACTTACTTGGTTAGATTTGTCCATTTTAGCCATTTTTTAAAAAAAATAGAGTTACTTCTCTTGCATTTGCATTGGACACTGAGGAAGCTCAGAGTCTCCAGAAGAAGTAAAAACAATTAATGGGTTGGATCCTGCATAAGGACTGCTTTGCTGTCTCCCAACAGTCATTTCCAACCGTGGCAATGTTTATTCTTGGGATCTCAGGACCCATGTTGAATAAATAGCCTTGTGTGTCAGGAGACTCTAGGGGGCAAAATTACTCTTTATAATCTCTTCTGTCAGTGCAGTGCAATTTTGCCCCCTCCCCCCTCCCCACTGCAGCCTTCCAACCTATGTGGCTATTACTCCTTGGGGGTATTTCAACCCTGGGAATAAAAATTCCCAGGGATGGAAATAGCTGCTGAGGGGCAGGAAGGCCAGGATGACCAGTGACTATCAGCACCTTCTGCTGACGGATTGCAGGATCCAACCCAACTGAAAATATTTATAAGCAATCAATTCATGTGAATATTTATGGCTGAGAACTCGTCCCTTATCACTAGTGATGTCACAGGTATTGTCCAGTAGGTGCCTCTGACATTCACGTCACTTCATCCCCAACCTCATTGACTAGGCAGGCAATGTAAGAAAGAGTAATGAGTGCTGTTACAAAATGGTTGCAATGGGGATGGTCAGAATGAAATAGCTGCCTTGGGCAGTGGGACTTGCTTTGGGTAAGACTGTTTTGCTTCAGTCTCCAAAGAAAGGGGTGAAGTTGCTCTCTATGCAGCTACACAGAGAAGTCACCAAGACAACAGTAAGAGAAAAGATGAAGGCCAAGCTTAAGGCACATGGCTGTGATGTGCATGCCTGGGACGAGCACATTTGGCACATCAATCAGTTGGCAGGGAGCAGCCCAAAGCTCCTTGTTTTTTTCTGTCCCATTCAAAACTCTTTGGATTTTATCCCTAAGACAATATGGTCACCATACTGTTGGTGTACTCACTGTGGGGAAGGTTGTCTTATTTTCACTGCAACAAAATACTGCAGATGAGCATGCGTGGAAAGAGAGACATAGAATGGTGGGAGTTTTGGTGTGTGTTTTTTTTAAGGTGTTTGGATCCCCTGCAGCAAATGAGTAGCAACTGTGAAATTTTGGAGGGGGGATTGTCTAGAGAGGACTTCCAGGAATTACTGAGCATGTGACCATAGGTAACCTCCTGAGGAAAACTGGAATTTGTATTTGGTATGATAGCAAAAGTTTCGGTTTTAAAATTGACCACCACCACCACTCCAGCAGCTCAAACTGATCTCCTTGCTCATCTAGGAACTGTGTCTATTCCATTGAATATAAAATTAGAGAACTGGTGATTTCATGTCTTGGGGTATTTTGCCTTATGTGTAATATTCCAGTTCTTCCCAATGGGCAATCTTGCAATCAGTCCTATCTTACGTAGCATCTTTTATATTCCATACGAATACCCAAAAGTTACCATATTGTTTTAGGCCAAGATCTGAGATCTGTAAATGAGACTGGTGTCTTCACCCCACCTCCAAAAAAACAGCACTACTCTGGTGCCTCCTGGACACATTTGATC